AGTACGTGAAAAATCCGATCATTAGATGAAAAGTTATTCATGGTACACCGCGTTCACCCCACAGTACATGTCTGATTGATGCCCTAACAGTAAATTGAAACAAAGGATCCCTCATAGGCATCTGCATACGTAGGGGGAAACTAAATATGGCTTAAGTACGTTACAAAGAACAATTTTTACGTTACAAAGGAGAAATTAAAATTTTAATTTCCCAACTTTGTAATTTGAAATCAATATTTTTTAGACCATCATAAACCCGCAACATTTGAGCTATTGTTATAATACCAAAATTTTATTTATCACTATGCAAGTCATTCTATCGTAGGGAAAGGGGTTGTGGGTAGAATAAAAAAATTATCAAAAATAACTTTTGATCTATGTTATATAAGCTTCTTTTTTCTTTTACTCAAGTTTACTTATTTTTATTTTATTGCAGTTCCGATAATTTTTCTCTGTATTTCCCCCAAAACAGTTCTAATTAATTTTATTTCCACATTTACTTTTTCTAAGTTAAAAATTTATTTATAATATACAAAAGCATGCAGAATTATAAATTATTTATTAATAAAACTTATTCATCGAACTGCCTTAAGCAATTTAAAATATTTCCATACTAAATTCTTTACCAAGCATGAAATAACTACCTTATAAACCAGCTACCTAAAAGGAACTATATAAGAATAAAACAGAATGTATTATGATATGAGAATATATATATAATAGCAGTTTGAAGATGGAAAAGTAGGGTTTTATAGATGGCTATTTTTGTAATTGATTAATTTTCCTAATGTATCTCGATAGCTTTCTAACTTGGAATGATAGCAAAATTAATCTTTAATTCATTAGTATTACTAGCGGATCAAGCGAAAACCTCTTTTTTTCATAAAAAAGTTAAAATTATAAAGTGAAAATTGATTGATTGATTATGTCAACTTATGTGTTGATTAACTGCACTCACTTTATTATTCGGACGGAGAAAAAAAAAACATTTAAATAAATGAAGAAAAAAAATTACGGCGAAAGATGTTTTTGCGCTCCGGGTGATACTGAAAACGGCGGGCGCCTTTTAAACTCAATTTTGGAAGAAAAAAATATCTGATTCTTAAAAGGAGAAATAATAATAACTTGAACTGTTTCCCGATTCATAACGCATAGCGCTGTAGAAAATTCCTTTTTTATTCCATACATATATTCTTTTTTCCATATCGACTCAAAATGCTCACTTAGGAAACATGAGAACACAAGATAAATAACAATGAACGCTTTCAATGCTAAAAAACAAGAAGGTAGTTCAGTTAATGAGAATATCACCCTAATTTTTCTAGAATAAATATTTATAGCAGGTAATATTCTTAATGATTATAAGCTTATATGATATACTAACAAATAAGCATATATATTAAAATTTATTTTTTCTTGATACAACAACAGTAGCAATCAAACAGTTTTAATAAACTCTACAAAATTGATTATTTTTGCGGTTTCATTTTTGATAAAAATTACTGTCGTATTTTGCATTCAATATGTCACCATTCTGTTACAAATTATTTAAAAAAATGAAAAATTGATGTATTAACTGCCGTTAAACAATGCATAAACATTTTTATGCATTTATAAACTCATTCACTGATCCGACTTTTCACTAAAATGCCCTTCAATGACTCGCCCGTAAACAAATTCACAGCTATTTATTGCTGACTCGTTAAAATAACTATTCACTGATCCATTGATTGGTTTCCTTACATTCCTCATTCTTACTTTATTATATCTAAAATAGTTCATTATAACAATTCTCATTGTGAAGCGAACTTGTTATAAAATTTTTATGAAGATTCGGTGCTATAAAAAGGAAAAATAAAACTTGTAACAGACTTTTCCCTCGAGAGGTAAAAACGATCAAGAACTGTTTGCTTTTTTTTCCCATTGGTATAAGCAGTGCATACGTTGACGTTGTGCTTGTATAGTTAATTAGTTAGATGTTATGTACGCTATTTTTTGTATTAATTTCTGTTACATTAAATTTGTTGTACTGCTAAATAAGTATCTTTAATGATCCGTTTTAATTATAAACACATCAAAATCCTCATTTATATACTATCTTAAAAATAACCGTTTAAAATAAATTAAAAATGACCTTGTGAACAAAAGAACGTACGGTCGTTATAGTCATAAAAAATATGAAATGATTACACCTGGAAACAATAATTTTTTTTGTGTGCATAAGAATTTTTTTAAGGGATCTTGAATATTTTCACATCGCTGACTTCAAATCAGTTTCTTTGCTCCAAGACACAGTTTTTTTCCAAATGACATTTTTAGTCTATTTTTGTCAAAATGTACAAAATTGAAAACGTGATACATAAATGTTGCAACAAACTTCTTGGGGAGTGAGAGCATAGGAACCCGTGCCCGGAAATACTTTATACTGCGCTAAGGGAATGTCGCTATTACGAACTGTTCGTGTGCTTAAAAACAGGTCATAATAGGGAAATGTTACTAGCGGCGTGTAACAACGTTTACAGGCATGCGTTCCTATGCAGTTTTTAAATTCGAAAAGGTTTAGATTTGAAAACCCCACACCCAAATTAGGCAAGATCAAGTATTTGTATAAATGCAACAAAACATTTGTTCCCCAGTGTTATTNGGTAATTTCTGAACATATGCTAAATCGTGATGTCTAACGGACGATGCATAACTATTTAAAATTTCTGACATCAACCAGTCCTTATCATAGTATTTGACAATTAAGCTACAATTTTAATTATTTGGCTACTATTTTTTATAAATTTTTGTTCCTGTTCAGGCAACTATTTTCATAGTTTTTCACCATTAATTATTTTCAAATTTTTCACCATTTAAAATGTATTTGAATAATAATTTTTAAAATTAATTATGTATTGATAACATTGTTTTAATTTTAATTCACAATTTTTATTTTAAAGTTTGGATACTTTTAAGTTTGGATACCTGGATATAAAGTTTGCATACCTGGACAACTGAAAAGTTGCCCAGGTGCAAGTAAAAAGTCACTAAAAAAATAGACCTCTGTCAAGTTTTTATTTTATTTTATTTAATTTTTTAAACAGATAGAAATTAAATAGAATAAAAAATGTAAAATAAAAAATTACAAAAAAAATGTCGAATTTCCTTGTGCCCGGCTGACCAAAAAGTAATAAATTTTATTTTAAAAATGATACTATGACAAACATTTCTTATTAGAATGGGAAATGTATTAAAAAAATGAAATTCTTTGTATAATTTCACTTATGAAATGCTTATAGTAAAAAAAATATGCTCTGAAAATTCCTTATATTTATCACAATATTTGTAAACGTAAACAGTTCCCTAATTTTTTTGTTGTTAAAATACTTATTGCTTTTTTGTATTTTAACCTGTAAAATTTTTTTTATAAAGTTTCCTTTCTTTAACTACATGTTTTTGTGCAAAAGAATTTGCAGTTAGAAATTGTTTTGTAAATGCCACAATCTTTTGTAAATTTTTAGCATCTATAATCTTATGTCTTATGAATTGGAAGCATCTATATGTCTTATGAATTGCAGGCATAATAATGCACTTTTTGAAAGTTTCATGTTTTTCAACTTTGTGTGCTTGTAGAATATATTAATTTTCACTCAAATACAAACGTTTATATAATTTGTAATGTATAATTTGTAATTTAATGTAAAATTACAAAAAAAGTTATGCAACTAAGAGTAAGATCTATCTCAGATTTGCATTTTTTTAAGGTGATACTTACACAATCAATACTTAGTAAGATATACCTTATTTTTTAAGACAGCTTCACAGCGTCCTTTCATGGAGTGAACGAGTGTTTGGAGTTCATCTTTCGTAATCACATGGTGCCAAGAATCAATTATAGCTTCAATAAGTTGTCTTTTATTGGATAGACGTTTTTTTCGTGCAAGAATTTTCAAACGTCGCCACAAATTTTCAATTGGATTGAGATCAGGACTGAATCGTGCTGAAAAATAAATGGTGCTTTGTTGGAGAAGAGATCCCTGATTGAAGGTATCAATTTTGGTTTCAGTGCAGTTTCGATGTATTTTTTGGCATTCAGGATGCCAAATCAGGCCAAAACAAATGCACAAGTGCTACTACCGATAGAAAAATTAACTGGCTATACCTTTAAGATAGAAAAATGTCATCAGACGCCATTAGATGCGAAATGAATGCAGCTGGTATTGCAGTAAGATCAAGAACAATAAGAAGAAGGTTATCAGGATTTTAACTACAAGCTAGAATTCCAAGGAAAAAACCATATTTAAATCAAAAGCAAAGCGAAAAACGAGTTAAGTTGGCAAAAGAACACATTAAATGGTCAGAAAATTAATGGAAGCAAGTAATCTGGAGTGATGAGTGTAAAATATCGCTCTTTGGAAGTGATGGTAGAAAATACGTGAGACGTAGAGTAGGTGAAGCGCTTCATCCTGATTGCATAGAAGCAACTACAAAATAAAATAAAAGATTTGTAAATGACAAATTCTAAAAAATAAAAAATTCTAAAAAATAAAAGATTTGTAAATGACACCGAATTAAAGCAAATCATTCTAAATACTTTATTTTATAGATTTATAAAAAAAATGTCGTAGCATTAAATAAAAACAATACATACAATGGTTTGAGTCAATGAATAAAATAATATAAAATCAAACAGATATCATGAAATTAAATACAGTCCCTGGCCGAAATATTCGACTCACTATAAGATTTCATGACATTCCATGTAAAATCTTAATAATCTATACAGCTTTATTATTTTAACGCGAGTGAAAACGGTTAGCACTTGTTTACTTTCGTGTATCAATGGGTTAACATTGTAATGAAATACGTTAAAAATAAATAGAAATCGGAATTATATAAAAAATCTCCTGAATAAAAGCCGATTACATGTATGTTTAAATATAAAAGTATTGCTTATAAACTCGTGCAAAACATGTATTTATTAAAAAATCACAGACAGTCTAATATTTGATCTAATTATTATAATTTATTAATATAATACTGATATAATATATATTCTATATTTATATAATATATCGTCTAATTTAACCTATCGTCGAATTTATATTATATATCGTCGAATGTAAACAATTGATACACAAACATAAATAAGTGCAAACCTTTTACAGTCGCGTAAAAACATTAAAGCTGTATAGTATCACTTGATAATTAAGATTTTACATAGAATCTTATAGTGTGTCTAATAATACGGCCATGGACTGTAATTAAAAATTCTTACTGTTTGTGTATTGGTTTAGTACATGAACAATTTCACCATCACTTTAAAAAGAAAACTGTGCGTCTCTTTCTCTTTTCAATAAAATGTTTGAAATATTTTCATTAAAATACTGTTATTAGGGGAAAGACCTGCTTTCCAAGAAAATAGTCTGACTTTTTACGGTCTGACCGTTTTAGAGTTCACGTATAAATCTCTGATCATTATCACCTTGTAAAAGTATGTTCGAATATTTTTATTACATGTTCTGCAGTTTCAAAATCATCCTCATGTCCTTACTTTTTTGCCACGTTGGGAAAATTTGTGCAACAAAGGCATTGCAACTGCGCACAACATGCACAAAGCTATTAACAAGATGTAAATTCCATCATATGATCCACGAGTTTCTCTGAAAAATCCTGAAAAACAATTAAGTATTATTTATATGACTTCATTATTCAACATGAGGACAGTGATAAATATTTTAATACTATTATACAATGTTTACAGAAAGTTTTGAAGCAAAAGAAGATTATTATATTTGTATTAAATTAAATTCGTATTATTAGTCTCAACCAGAGCAATTAATTGGATGCCTGCAAGTGATGTCATCGTAAGTTAATCGTGGCATTCGTTGATTAACAAGCCATTCTGGTTCGATATGCATGCGTGACTTCGCTTACAGGTATCCAATTACATTTCATTTAAATTACATGGTTGGGCATTTCACTTTTTCTAGAGTTGCAACTACCCAAGTGATTAAATATGTTTATCTGATAATTATTTAAAATTTCCATTAAATTTTTTAATAATATGTGTAGTTGAAATATTGTTAGTAAAAAACTATTTATATGTATTTTAACAGCTGGCTTTTAAATTCTTTAAATTTAAGTTTGGACGTACGTTACTTTTCTTTTATGCAGTCAGCATATAACAGGGGTGGCCAACTTGCTACTCGCGAGCCACATGCAGCTCTTTGAAGGATTATTTGTGGTTCTCGAAAAATGTACCCGAGTTCCCTTTTCATTTTTGTGCTTTATATTTTTGAAGTATTATTACCGTTCCTTGACGAATCGACAGATATCACAGATCTTCCGCAATTTGCAGTTTTCATACGTTTTGTTTCATCTGACTTCGTTGTTAAAGAAGAATTATTAGATTTAGTATCACTGCAAAAGTCAACCCGCGGTGTCGATATTAAAAATGAATCAGATTCCATTATTTAAACTTGTAATGTGCCTTTTAATAAATTTGTAAGCACTAGAACTGATGGAGCTAAGGCAATGCTAGGTAAAAAAAATCGGTCTAATTGGGATTTTAAGAGATGATTCTCAAATTCCACAATTCATACCGATTCACTGCATAATTCACCGAAAACATCTCGTTACAAAATAATTAAAATATCCTGATGTTATGAAAACAGTGTTACACATTGGAAAATTACATTCGCCTTATTGCTAAAAATCATCGATAATTCAAAAATTTCCTTAAGGAATTAAAGGACGAAGAGCTCACAAAAGACATTAAATTTCTTTTGCATTATTAGATCGTTATCTAGCTACAGCGTATTAAATTGTTTTGTAGATTTGTTTGATCCGATAACTGCATTTCTGAAAGAAAAAGAAATAACCTATTCAGAATTAGACGATGACGAGTGATTTGACGAAGACAATGTTTTTAACTGATGTCATGGAACATTTGCAAACCCTGAATATACAATTGCAGGGGAAAGATAAAATAATATCTCACATTGTATATTTAGTTTTCAAACTAAATTACAACTTTTTCAAAAGGACATTAAAAATAAAACAATTTGTCATTTTCCTCGAATTAAAAAAAATTGTTCCAATATTAAACAAGAAAAACTCAACGAGTATATAAAAAAGCTAGAAGGAATATTGACGGAATTCCAAAATAGATTTCAAGACTTGAAATATTTTAAATCGTCTCTTGATTTTTT